GTTATGACAGTACAGCGGCTGAGCGCAAGTCACACGTTTGGACGACATTCGCACTCAAAAGTCGCGACGATCCTAAGTAAAGTCGAATGCGGAGCTCATCCCGAATGAGAGTGAGACTGTTCAACGCCAAACGATTATTATAAGAATGAAAGTTCAAAAAACCCCAACAACGCCAGTATCAAGTGGGGCTCTCGGATGTCACTTATCTTCATAATGTTGTTAGTGTCATGGGCATACACGAAGTTCGTAAGAAATTGGGAAGGCAGTCGTTAGGTGCCCTTCTCTCTCTGCTGTCGTCATACATAGTGCTCAGTTCAGTGGCTTACCATCTTTACTGTGAGACTGTTGACATGCAATCTGCCAACAGAGCGATGACTGAAAAAGTTGGTTCTCGACTTTCCTAGGGATATCTCCCAACAAAATGAATGAATAGGGCAGTGACCGATTTTTCTCCATTCCTTGCCACACTACGTGTACTAGAGCTTTCGTTTTGCTTGAGAAAGGTTCTTGAGAATAACATCTTGAGAGTTTTTCTTCACATTCAACAGCTTAGCGATTCCTCTTAGCGACGCGTTTGTTGAGACAGCTTGAGGCTAGCACAGAGAGGTTTCTCAGTTGTTCCTGAACTGCGCTTGTTTTGAATAAGCAATGTTCTAATCCTCTGCTGGCCTTGCCCTCAGCGATTCGTGTCTTCCTAAAAAAACATACAGGAACATAACAGCCAAGGAGGAACGAGGTTCCATTACAAAAAGCGACATTTCAATTACCTAGATTCCTCCCAAAAATTCTATTGGGATCAAGTTCTCTCTCACCCATACATTTTGTAGTTGTCGATGCAGTAATCTCACATTTCAAGGTGGAATGACCACCACATCAATCAGATGTTACTTTGTTTGTTGCTGAACATTAAGGCAATGCGTTTTTCTTCATTCCGGTCTTGTTTTGACTGCTCGAAACATTACGCTGTGCTTGAGTAGCGATAAATTTATAAGTTTTTTCATCTCGCATACGACTATATTTTGTGGAATTTATTTATTTTAGATAGCTAAATAGTTTCGGTTGCTCTCCCTCCATTTCTCATCGAAACAACTTATTAGAACTGTGACGTGAAAGTTGCTCCTGTTCGTTACCTATCATCTACATGTAGTAGTAAAATCAAGGGTCACCCACCGGCACCCCTCGGGGCCCGTCACTTTTCATCATCCCATTGTCAGTGTCAGCACCCTATGGCCCCTTGAGTCCGAGCCTTGTTGAAGGTATTCCGCTAGCTCCTAGCTCTGTGGTGGCCTTCCTCAATGCACCTAAGACTGTAGAGCTGGGTAGGCATGCGGTGATCATTCTGAGATGGTAGACCTCACCCAGAAGGAAACGATGGTTATACTGATGCCTGAATTTGCTGAGTCATGAACTGGAAAGTCATGGGAGAAGTAGCTGAAAGAACCAGACAAAACAAGCCCTCAAAAAAACCATTGATCGTAACTAACAGGGCGCTCCAAGTCCTTTACTGTATCTGTTCTGTGGAGAGATTCCAATTCTGTGGCCTAACTTTCCCTGGATATCGATCTTTTGCTTTCTGAGTAGTTTTTTGTTTTTAATTGTTTCACATTTAGGCACAAATCATACATTACAACACACAAAAACAATAACACCTTCAAACGTCAAAAAAATGGAACGCCCCATCCAGTTATTGCCTAATTGATGTAGCATATGTTGGCCTGTTGTCCCGTCTATATAGACCTGAGTTAAGCACGGAATTAGGTTAGAAAAGATAATTAACTATTCAAAAACTCTGCTTGAACAAAGTTTTCTTTGTGGTACGTGCGTATTGTAACTACAACTTGTGAGGGAGCTACAAATAGTTGCACTCGGTCCCAGAGAACTCCAATCTGTATTACAGGCATCAATCACGCCAGTTCTTCTTATGGGTCAATTGGACTTCTCTTCAGTTGTCAGTCTCAGCTTGTTTTTCGGACTCATTTTGAGAATTGTGGAATGCAGGAGTCTTTGCAACTTGTCTTGCCATGCTCCTACCTTTCCTTCAAAGTCTTGTCTTTTCCCGAATGTTAGGGAGTGGTAGTGGGGATTGACCATTAGATGAGAAGTGACAGAGGAAGGGCAAATCGCCCAAAATGGCCAAAGACGTGAAAAGCCGTTATTTGATTTGACATCAACAACCCATTTACGCGAATGTGTGATGATTTCATCCCAGTAAGTACCCCTACTTTCTCCTGAGTGTCGAACAAATTAACAGTGACAATTTGAAGTCATACGCGAAATTTATAGTCGGCATATGACGTAGGCAATTTCAACTGGGCACGTTAGTCATCGCGAGCGTCACTCCTCTAAAAGGGCACCTTTGTTCCGTATTTAATTCTTTCGCGAATTTTTTTTTCTAAGGATGTATGTACCCAAATGGTGACCAGGAACTTCCCTTATGGTGCCTCTACAAGGGCCGAAAACTTTAGTCGACCAGTCTGTATCGTTTGATGTTACTGAACCAAATTACTCTTTCTTTCGAATTGTGATCGATATGTGCACATTCAAGAGAACATATTAAAAAGCAGTTTGGACTGATTCCAATCCGAGATCAATAGATCGATCAATAAAGCACACTGAAGTTCATACTGTACCACGTCTAGCTCAATAATTGGAGCCAGGGAAAGGTGAGTGATGAATGCAGGTTCAATCACTCTACCAATCGACAAATAGTTTGAATACTTACGGCGTAATCAATTCCGTTTCTGTGTTGCGCCCCGCATTCGACTTTCATTCGGAATCGTGGCGTTTTTGAAGGTCTTTGTGGCCTATACAATGACTTGCGGTGGTTAGTCGATCTATGTACAGGCTGGCTCTTCTATAACCTTAGGTGAGCATAGTACCAATAAAGTGACTCCGCAGGAATGACAATGATAGTTGCCGCCTTTGACGTGTAACAACTGGGGATTCGATCCCTGGCCCACGTGGTAGTGCACGTCGCTTGCCGCTGCGCCACTTTAGCTCCAAATTGCACTAAATAGAAGTGAATAGCACTTTCCGGCCATTACAGCTTTGTCAGCAATAGCTTCAAGACCGGCCTGCACCTGGATCACCGTGAAAAAGTTGCAACTAATTCATTTCTTTATTAATTATATTCAACTCAACATTTCTTATAAAAGTTCTCCACCCTCCTTTACAAAAGCCTTCATTCATAAGAGACGTTTTGTTGCAACAAAAAAAAAAACGACGCCACAAATTGTATTTTCCATGCATCGGATCTTATCCTACTTAATCCATTCTTTAAATGTTTAAACGCCCACAAGTTAAGCGATGGATACCCATTAAATTACCTTATCAATCGATATTGGTCCCGATTAGTTGGGCATTAATCATTGTCTCTACGTTTCCATCATACCCTCTCCATTCCGTCGATGTCTGGAAGTCCTGGATATGGTATGGGAGAAAAAACGAATTAATAGTTGCACACCCACTGACAAACAGCACAGTCAGGCTTACATTAGCACAAAGAAGGTTATGGGAAGAGCATCTGTTCCTACACTGACCAACACATTGACGACAATGAAGTCCACGTAAGGACTAAGATATTTTATTTTTATTTTTTCCACCTATATTTCCCTTTCCTACTTTTTTCCCAAATCATTGAATGATTCCTAATTGAAGGTATATCTTGGATGATTCCGAGAAATTTGCATAACATTTATAATATAATTTATAATATCGAATATTGAGTTTAATACTATTCTTGTGCCTTTCGAAAAAATATACTGCTTAAAATCAATCTATTGGCATCTTCACTGTTATAGTCTAAACGTAAAATTCGCTAGAGCTATTTGGATTTCTGGGTATAATTAGCTTACGACAACAAAGTGTTACAGTCAAAAAATAAAATTCCACAAATGGACTCCAAAAAGTGGCTCCGTTTGGACCATGAAGTTCCAACAAGAGCTGCAGTCGCGGGTGTGCAGGAAAAGCATCGGTTCCTCGCTGCTCTTCTTGCCCAGGACCCGGTTGTCGTCATTGTTTTAATTTATTTCCCATCTGACATTTCCCAGTCCCATTTATTTGAAAATCAATTTAGTCTTTGAATAAGTGAATAATAAATTTTTTTCTTCATTGCTGAAAATGTTGCTTCTTCGTAAAAATATAGAAGCACCTGCTGTAGCTGTAGGCAGGCTTTACGAAGCGATTCCTGATGACTTCCTTTTTTATTACTGTTATTATCGACACCATTAGCTGCTTACTGTTTAAAATCAATTACTGCCGATCTCTGTTGGCACGCTTTCTCCAGCTGACACAATTCTTGCAGCTGCAAATTGAAAACAGCGAATTCATAAGGATAAATGTGGTTTTGAGTGAAGAAAATAGACCACGAAACTACTCATAACCTAGTCAACAACCTGTCTGAATAGCATTTTTGCTCTTGAAAATCGTCCTATATCAGCTCAATTGTAGATGAGGACGACAACCCAGTAGAAGACACAGCAATGGCCGCACGATCAACATCTGGACCCGGATTGCAACGGCGACGAGGTAAGTCGCCTTGAATGGGCGGCCCTTCTTTTGAGTTGTTTTCCTCTTATTCTGATACTTTCGAATGTTTTTATTTGTTCTTTCTCAGTACCCCGTTTTGTTTTCCCACGACATCCAGTTCTATCCGATCTTTCTTAATCCACTCGATTGTTATTTCCAATGGGTCCTCCTCATTTAGGAGCAATCAAACATGCACGAATTCACGAAATCCGTGGCCATCAATTCGTTGCGACCTTTTTCCGTCAACCGACATTCTGTTCGTTATGCTCCGATTTTATGTGGTCAGTTCCACTTCTTTTCCTTTTTCGTGGTGTACTTGACGATGTTTTTTTTGCTATGACTGTAACTTTTGTATCCCTAATTTGAAAGGAAATAATGTCGTCTATGAACAATTCAGTGACCAGGAACATTCAGTACATACTTGTAGTTTATTTTTCGAAGTAAGCCATACCCGTCCTCAATCTCCTCCACTTATAAGTTCTTCCTCACTAGACATCTCCCAGAATACGTCCGTAATGTCTTTCTTGAACAGCTTTCGGGATTTCATTTCGACAATGAATATGGAATATTAGCTAGACGTATCTTATTTTGGCAAGGTCTGAAAGAAATACTTTAGGAGGGCACGTCGTAAATGATCCAACCAGTTGGACTGGGTAAAGGACAACCACTTCCCATAACGATGAATTCTATTCTGAAACTATTGCTCTAATTCCACAGATCGGGGATCGGATGCTGAGTCGATACTGGCTCAGGACGATCAGGCTTTCCACTTTTTCCAGGTCATCCAGTTAGTTCCAGTCTAGTTTGGGAGGATAAAAACGCTGATTTGTACATTGGCTGACCTCGGAATTCATTGTATGAATAGGTCGCATGCGCATTCACCCGCCAATGTGATTCTTGATGGAAGTCTAATGTGGGGGGGAGAGGCTCCAAATGATGCTGGAGACCTGATCCTTCCATGAATCGAGTCAGTCAAGTTTGTTTTAGGGTTCAGATAGCAAAGCCAGAAAATTCACAGAATCAAGTGGTTCCACCCTTGAACGGAGGAGTTCCCTGGTTTTTTTTTTATTGATCTCGGGTTTTAACTTTTACTAGCTCCAGATATCTCGTAGTCAGCATTCCGCTTCTGTTCTGCAATCTATGAAATAATCCATCCCAGAGACATGTTGAGGGGTCTGCACTGCTACTGGACCATTCTACTGCCAGAGTCATCGTCTTTAGTAGCTTAACTATAATCGTCTTATTTTACTTAACTCGTTGGGTGTGCGGTGTTTATGTGTAGCCAGTCACATGACGCCGTTACTCTCGAGCTCTCCTTCACGTATCTCAATTAATGCAATATTAATTACAAATTCCCGAAATTTTATTTATCGTAGCAGTAGCGAGTGCCATTCTCATAGGTAAATTTGAGATGAAAAAAGGTCGATGTACATAGGTCGACGAACACACACACCCACTGATTTTGGCCCCCTTTTGGCAATTGCTTTCACTCGCTAATAGGTTAGAAATGGTGGGCAATTTTATCGACTTTTGTAATTTATTTACGCTACGATTATTGATGGCATGTGATGGGTTGTTGACATGTGCTAAGCAGTATTACGATACGGCAAAATGTTTTGAAAAAAGCCAGCACGCCCATCCCAGTAATGGGCTCTGTTTCCCAGCGGTGAAAACTTAATCAGGTTGTCATCAGAAAAATCCACTGTAAAAATGGAATTAAACTGGAAGATTATACAAGGGTCTCACGTAGGAGTACTGAAAGGAGGCAAATTAAAGGAGAGCTTGGGAAAAGTAAGGCATCTGGCAGGTGCAATTGAACAGCGATCAACGGTACTGTTGCCATACGAACTCACTCAGGCCATTCGTCATTCAGGGGTCTGAACAAACAAGGCTACCAATGTCAACTGTGCTCAACGGCGGTGCACAAGAAATGCCACGAGAAGATCATCATGCATTGCCCAGGCTCGGCAAAGAACACCAAGGAGACTATTGTGAGTGACAGGGCCCTGCTTAAGCTCTTTCAGGGTCTGTAGCCTAGGGGCTTGGATCTGAAGCTTTGTTGTGATTCAGAAGTTCAAAAAGCAAAAAAATCTATAGCTTCTCATTCCAGGCTTTGAAAGAACGATTCAAAGTCGACATTCCACATCGGTTCAAAACTTACAACTACAAGAGCCCGACATTTTGTGATCACTGCGGTTCGATGCTTTACGGTCTATTCAAGCAGGGATTACGATGTGAAGGTTAGTATTTTGACGTAAATGATGCTTTGCTGCGCTTTACTTTCTTGGAATTGAGAAGCTGCTCTGTCCCTTTTTAAAATCAATTCATTGAGGTGAATTTGAGCCGGTTTCACAGTAACGTGCTTTCCTAATAATTCCTATTTCCCGCTGGTGGCTACCAATAGGAAGAGTACTAGGTCCTACACAAAACTCTACTGTGTTCCGAATATGTTATATATACGACCGGAACTTCGATCAGTGGTGTAGCCATAAGCAGAACCTTTGGGTAGCGCTCACTTTGATGTTGTCATGGCGAAAAAAAAAAGCTCGTAAAGACTCTTGAACTCACGAAGTCATGTTAGAAGACGTTTTGTATTTCCCGACAGGAAATTGCTGAGCTTTGTTGGTTTTGGACCGCGCTTTATCCTTTTTCTTTGGCTAGAAATTGTATAATAGATAGCAACGGTTGTGAAAGATTGCTGGTATTGATAGCCTGCCACTAACTACGAGTCTGTAGAAAGCGTAAATAAACAAAGTGAGGGCAGAGAACAAAGATAGACACACACTTATGAATTATCCGTGGGTTTGCACTCACCTGGTAAAGTAATATCACAGAGATGAGGGAACGACCTCGGCTCTTTCTTTTTTAGAGTCCCCATATTGAGCCGCGCGCTTCATTCTCAAGTTTTAGCTGATTATGGTGGCTCCCTTACCAGCAGAAGCAGTTCGTGTTCGACTCAAGCTGTTCAACACCACCAAACTTTAGGAATCTGCAGATTCGTCAAAGAACTGAGTCAAGTTGTTCCTGATTTCAGTTTGCAACGTCAACTGCCATCACAAATGCGAAAAGTTGATGTCGAATTTGTGTGGAGTGAACCAGAAGCAGTTGTCAGAGGCTTTGTACGAGATCAAGCGAGGCACGGCGGCCAGTTCAAGGTAGGAAGCTACTGGCTGTTGGGGATGTGTTGCAACGAACGGAGTACGAGGCGAAAAACTCTTTGTTGTTTGCAGTTGTCCACCTGCCATTGGCAATTTACATCTCGGAAATGGCGAGTCAAAGCACGCAAATGGAAGTTTGCCAAATAAGTTGAAGAACTTCTTCAAGACGCAGCAATACAGCATGGAGAACCATGCCGAGCATGAAGAGTACGATTCACAAAATCTCCGTTCATTCAGTTTCCGCTAGCAATAACTAATGTTTAGGTACATGAACAACATCTGGACCGGTGGCGAGGGACCAGTGAAGAAATTCGGTTTGCAGCATTTCACTTTAATGAAAGTGCTCGGAAAAGGAAGCTTCGGCAAGGTCGTTTATTATTTAATCGGGCCATTTGGGTGTTGTATTGGGAGTTTCAATAGTGATTGATTCGATGGATCTCGTTCCAGGTGATGCTGGTTGAATTGAAAGGAAAAAACGAGTATTATGCAATGAAATGTCTGAAAAAAGACGTAATCCTAGAGGATGACGACACAGAATGCACATATATCGAGCGACGGGTCCTTATTCTGGCTAGTCAATGTCAATTCCTCTGCCAGCTGTTCTGCTCCTTCCAAACTAATGTGAGTTGCAAGAAAGCTCCATTCAAAGGTCAACATATTGTGGTACTGGATATCATGGGTTCACTGATTTGGTAACGGGGAAGGGGTTGCTCAGGTTGGGAAGAACAAGTTTCAATTCTGCTATAACGAAGGGTTTTTTCCGAGGGAACTTGAAACAAGAAACTATATCCTGGGCCCTCAAGTGAGCTTCCTTAACGCAGCGCTCGAGAACGTACTTTGATTGTTCTGGTTCCCGGCTATTTCTTTGACCCCNCCCCCCCCCCCCCCCCCACCTTTTGCCCCTTCCCGCTTTGCCAGTGTTTCTTTACCCTGACAGGAATTCAAACTTACTTTCGTAGAGCGCTTCAAATTAATCACAATTAGAACTGTCTCTTCCACAAATGGAAGTGCGAGGTGAATATTTACCGACTGCGGTTTCTTTCCCACAAATTGGACCCTCACCTGAGCTTCTCTCTTATAGGGCTCGAGAAAGTGCTTCAGTTAGTTTGGTCCTACCTGCGGGAAGTTAACCTGATGGAGTATCACAATAGATTCGATCACCATTGGGTGAAGTCGTCGAATCGTTTTTCATTACCAATCATTTTTAGGAGTACTTGTTCTTTGTGATGGAGTACCTGAATGGTGGTGATTTGATGCATCACATCCAACAAGTGAAAAAGTTTGACGAAAATCGAACACGATTCTACGCTTGTGAAATTATCGTCGCCTTGCAGTTCCTGCATTCGAATAACATCATCTACCGGTAAGTTCGCATTTCTGGCCTTTTCGATTGTTCCACCTCATAGGAATGAACTTCTAAAGATCCTGCCTACATACTTTACACGTATATGTAAAGGCCACTGGTATGATATGAGTGCAGTATGTAGTGAACATGTACCTACCTACTTAACACTTCTTTCGAAGGCACAGTTAACGATAGAAATGGTTTCCTTTTCTTAGGATGAATCTGTAGCCCTCAAGGACACTGTCATAACACGTAGGACACTGTTTTGAAGAACAACCTGGACAGGATGTTATAAGAACTGCGAAACCGGCTTGGCGGCGTACGCACGAAAAAATGGATGTGTTATGACGACCTTGTTAAGGATGCACCATTCGCAATGGTGCACACATGTCAAAAATTCAGACAAGTCGTGACCCATGTCCTTAGTTTAGGGCGACTTATAGCATTTTGGGCACTCTATGGATAGCTCTAAAGCACGCAGCTTGTCTTAGTACCCTATTCATGCCACTTCTATCGTTTTCATCCCATTTCGCCATTTCGCACGTCCTCTTCTTTCCATTTTTTAGGCCTTCTTTCCTTTCAAGAACTGCCAATTTTCGCGCCTTTTTAGCCACCTTTACCTTTTTACTACTCTGCACCATAACTTCTATTGATTCGCTTAGGCAAGGCTTTCAGAATTATCGTAGACGTGCCTACAGAAGCAAAGTCTAGAAACCCTGAAATTATTGCACTTCGTGAGAGAAATCAGCGATACTTTGCTTGAGTGAAGGGTGTTACTGTTTGTTGAGAAAGCTTCGACCAGCGCGTCACTATTCTTACTGAACAAATTACATTTTTAGAGATCTGAAGCTGGACAATATCCTTTTGGATTCGGAAGGGCATGTGAAGCTCGCCGATTTCGGTATGGCCAAAACGGAAATGAATCGCGAAAACGGGATGGCGTCCACCTTCTGTGGAACGCCCGACTATATCAGCCCCGAGGTCTGCGGAAGTCTATTAATTCTGTTTCGTTTGGAAAATGCAAAAGCTGGTTTCAGATTATCAAAGGGCAACTGTATAACGAGGCAGTCGATTTTTGGTCGTTCGGAGTTTTGGTAAGTTGTTCATCATGTTTTCCTAATGTTTCTGCGAGGGTAACTGGCTTTCGTCGGCCAAACGTTTGACTCCTACTTGTACTCCTTTCATCATCAATTGGGCATTCCAGATGTATGAAATGCTGGTCGGACAATCACCATTCCATGGTGAAGGCGAGGACGAGTTGTTCGACTCCATTCTAAACGAACGACCATATTTCCCGAAGACCATCTCCAAAGAAGCTGCTAAGTGCTTGAGCGCTGTAAGTAAATACTTTCACCATCTTCCACTTCTTTTAATAGAATATTCGACGTTTAGCTGTTTGACCGTAATCCAAACACGCGGCTAGGAATGCCAGAGTGTCCGGACGGTCCTATTAGGCAACACTCTTTCTTCCGTGGTGTAGACTGGAAACGATTCGAGACTCGACAAGTCCCTCCGCCATTCAAGCCCAACATTGTAAGTGACCTTATTTTTCAACTGCCACTTTCAGTTTCAGGAACAGACTCTCCAAAACTGTCAAACACCTATTGCGAAAAACAGTAATACTACTACTCAATACAACATGATCTCATGATTTGAAATCAAAGGTTTTGTCATTGCAATTCCACAGGAGATATTACTAGTTGCATGTGAGAGCTGAAAGTCAGCGGTTAAAAGCTAAACTCCGTTGTTTTCAACCCAGTTCTTCTCGCGCTAGACAGCTACCCCTTTTCGAAAACACAGTTCACGATAAATCTGAGATATCTAGTTGACGAGAAATAATGGACGTTACGATGTATTATAGAATAAGGCAAAGAAGCGAAGAAAGCACGAAAATCGGGGTGTCCCAAGATATATAAGGTCTCGAAAAATTAGTAAACAAGGAGGTTATACGCGATTTCGAAAACAAAGGCAACAAGGAAAGTGTGTTTGGACAAGCTGCTAGTTGGTGCAAGAGCGTAAAAAATTGGTAACAGTTGTGTCGTGTTTTTCCACGAACCCGAGCAAACATGCTCACAGGCCAAAGATGCAAGGGCTCACAGGCCAAAGATGCAATACTTATTTCAAATTACGCGCCATAATTTGGACTGTGCGCACAGTATGGGAGCCTTCAGAAGGTTAGTGCTGTGAGCATTTTGGCGCCAATGGTTGTCAGTCTCTCCATCATCGATCGTCTTCACCACTCTATCCGTTCTTCATCTGCCGCACAACCGCGTTTCGCTATAAGTACGCTTCTGCTTGGAGCACCACTCGCTATCACTTCTATCTCTCAAATAACTTACGACAATGCCAGGATCCTTATCCTCAGGTGGTCTTTGTTCTAGTTCTGGCATAGAGACTTTGCACTAGGCTTCCCTTCATCATAGGATGTCAACTGACCTAGCAAATCATCTCGGACTCTCGCCAGGATTGGGATAACGCACCTCCGAGCTTTCACAGCTCACATAACCTTCCCCTAGGTGCGGTATGCACCCACCACGGGACTGCGCGTGGCTCCACCGCCGATTCGTATCTTCTAGACCAGAGCCACGCAATGTCACTACGAGTAGGCCTCAAATCGCAAAAATAGCCCTCTACTGGGCGCATTCACAGTACTGAAGGCATGGTTTATAGCATAATCAAGGAGAGAGGAAGCCGTATGATTTCAGGTTCCTTACAAATGCCTATACCAGTCTGGGTGTCTTTCGCATAACCGTACATAGCCGCACTATTTGCCGGTGTTCTAACAGTTCATTGTGAATGGTGCAAAAGGGTTGTGTGGATAAGAATGAATGTGAATAACGTTACAGGGTTTCTCGTGTAGGATTATGAAAAAATCTTTTATTCATGTAGAAATGATCATTCATTTAATGTTTCACTGCTTTTTTTCAGAAGTCCTCGTCAGACGCATCGAATTTCGACGATGACTTCACAAATGAGAAGGCAGCTCTAACACCGGTGCATGACAAGTCTCTCTTGGCATCCATCGATCCTGAAGCATTCCTCAACTTCTCTTATACTAACCCACAGTTTCTGTGAAAGTGAGGTTGCCATCTGAATCGCGCCAGCGATGAACAACCAGCCACTGATGCTGGGCTCAATCAAAAAACGCAATATTACTTCTCCTTGGTGGTTTACTCCACGCACGAAGATTGCCGAGAAGTATTGTATAGAGAGATAGAGATATGATAGAGATGCCCTACAGAGATTCTTGCGTTGGCTTGATCTTTGCACCCTCTACCCCTGTACAAGTCACCCCAATCGATAGTCATATTTAACAGAGAGGACATAATAAGAATCGGAATCTCGTGTGTGTGTGTTCCGATTCTCGGATCGCGCTTATCCCTCCTAGACTTCCCCTGCTCCCTGACCACCTTTCAGTTTTCGAATCGAATTCGCTGACTCCTCATACGCCCAATTTTAGCCGGGTCTCACTTTTGGTTATCATTCATTAATTTGTGTTTTTTTGCCCATTGATAAATACTTTTGCTAACCATTTTCCCGAGTTTTGTCATGAATTCCCTCATGTTCACTTTGTTCAATAGCAGCACAGCACTGACTTTTGTTCTCATCCAGAATATGTCTTATATTGTAGAATAGTATGTACCTGTAAGCTAAAAGAACTTTTTTTTTGTTGATTCTGCGGCCGGTGTCGCTTCATGGCCCCTGAGTAGAGCTCCGTATTAAGAAGTCGTATGCACATCTTGGCGTGTGAAAAAGCTTTACCATTAAATCACTATGGATGTTAGCTAAAATTGGCGTGCCTTCTGAATGATTCAATGAAGGCCAGCCAAGATGTGTCTACGATAATTTGTTCACGTCTCATATCATATTTCTATTAGCAAGGCCGGAAAACCTTTTCTGATTGTGAATCGTTCTTTGTTCATTAATGTACAAAACAATTCATCTAATAAATGGTGATTGACATGCTCTATGTGCTTAAAATAGAAAAATTCCAAAAGAAAAACTTCATACATCATCTTTGCGCGTTCTCTGTTGAACCCTTTTGTTGCTCTTCCCCTTGAATAAACCGGGCCTGCACTTGGCCTAATGACAAATCGAAATAATGTCTCCAACTTAAGGCTTATGGCGAGCATCAAAAGTGACTGTGAAGTGCTGCATGAAGCAAGCAAAGGCTTTGCAATCACTCAACAGTTTGCTATGGGTAAAACGAAAAAAAGTAAAGTTTTCTTGTTGTGCTGTGGATACGTAGAACCCTAACTTATTACACAACCAATCACGATTACTTACTACGATTACCGATTTTTTTACCCGTATCAGCTGCTGTTCCAGTGGTCTTCGACTTCCTCGAGTAGGCTCCTGTAACGTCCCCATTCGTTCCTGTCGTGAGCCATAGTAGCCTAGTGGATTGTTCTTGCTTGAGTGACACGAGACATAGCAACCCTTTCGTTCAGTGGTTTCGTGAAAAATTCTGACACAAAGGCTGCTGCCCCAGTTTCGTTGAAGGTCGGAGAGGTCCAAACAAGAGCTTGCAACTACGGATTTCCCCTGCGTTTGCGTGTATCGAGAAAAACCAACGCCCTCTCTACGTTGCGTTGGATGACTCTGACTACGTATTGATCCTGCTTGCGAAGAGTCGGAATCTTCGACGCGCACATTGTAGTAGGATGGACTCCTCTTGTTGAGAAGATGGGAGCCTTGTCAAATGTTCTTTGTCTTCTTCACTACTATATCGATGTTATTCACACAGCTAGAGCATTCAGAGAAGTTTGTTCCGTTGAGCTCAAAGGGACATCAGGTTCCGGTCCGTTCCTGAAGAAGTCTTCGTCTTCCGTCTTCGTTAGAATCGGTCCTAAGCCGATCTTCCCACGAGTTCTATGGAATTTGGAATATCGAATTCGGTGGCACTTGTGTACAGTTTCCGCTTCATCTGCTCGATGTTCGACCGAGCCCCTAACCTCATGCTGTCAATGACTTTTTTGTAGAAAAGCAAAGTAACGGTCGTGAAGTTCTCGTGGAATGCACGTGCACTCCAATATATTGACTGTAACATCCTGGTTGCCCAAACTTCATTACTGCTTCTGCTTCTCTGTGGTTACATCAATGAACCTTGTAAAGTTAGGATGTAGTCGACTGTATGAAATTCTTTCCAGGACCTCGACAGCTCGTATAACGAATGGCCTTTCATCTTGTATTCTGTCAATACTGATGACAGGATGACTCGATTGAAAAATTACTTTCGTAAATTACTGACATCAGGCAGATTGGGATTAGTTGCCGAAACCGTCTGAATCTTCCCTATTATGCAGCAACGCAGTGTTGCCACGATGTGGGTACTTTGTATTCCGACAGGTCACGAGTCGAGATCCCATTGTTAGTCAGAGCTCTGATGATAATTGGTGGAAGGCCCTTCAAACGTTTCGGATTGGTCCCATCGGGACCGGTCGCCGTACAGTCCTTTGCGGGCATGATGGCATGTCAATTTTTGGAAGGAACAATAGAGAGAGCTACATTTTCTTCTTGCCTATGGTGGGCAGAAGGACGTGGCTGTCCAAGAGACCCGTAGATGATCTTCTTCATTGTCCTTCGAGGAGCAGTAAGTATTCCGTTAAGACGATGAAGAGAAGTCGTGATTGTCCTGTAGCCGCCGGTGTCCTGCTCCAAGAGGCTTTGTAATTGCTCTTCTCAGAATTAACAGTTTCGGCTTGAACTTCTCTTTTCCGAATCATTTCTTATTGCTTCTTTGCAGAACCTGGCAAAATCGAACATTAGTTGATTTTTGCCTGTAGCTGTCTGTTGTAGCTGTCGCAACTCCACAGTGTCGTACCAGCTCGAAAGTACTTGAAGAGAAACACTTTTATGCAACTTATGACCCTCTGCTTTCCTTGCACAATCGTGACAGTTCAATGAGTTTAGTAACCTTCATCGATATGGTCGCTAACGGAATATTCCCATAAACTCGCAGAGGAAGCGAATGCATGTGGAATGATGACAATTTTGAGGCTTCTTATATGATTCACAGCCACGCACTGAGCAGCAGAATCTAGCGAGGAGGAGGCGACGGTTGATCTCGTGTACAGCTCCAGAACAACAGTCAGGTCAAACCTTCGACTGAAGTTGATGTGATCTATACAATATGGAGCTGTTTCTTGCTGTCACCCATCCTGTTTTCAACGAAAAGGCTTCTAAAAGTTTGAGAAAGTGGAGTTTTTCACTCGGTCCATTCCATTATATTCCATGAGTTCCGATATGTAATTCTTCAGCACTTCTTCTTAGGTCAACCTTCGAGGCACTGAAATTGCCGACGATTCCTTCGAAGTAAGTATGGCCTTTTCTATATAAATCGCCAAGCACTCGGAATGCGTACTGCGGTGGAATAACAGCAGTTGACAAAATATCAAGTCGAAAAAAGTTCTACCATGTAAATCTTCAGCTTGACGGTTCAATGCTGATATAGGGTGACCGGCTCCTCATATTGTACGCGTAAGTGCTGATAAGCTTTTTCCCTTATTTATAAAGCAGTCACTTGGTGCGTCGGTTTGTAGGTTTGTCGGCTTGCCCATCTGTCTGCCTTGGTGGGTAGGTTAATGGAGTAGAGTCAGTACTGCGTAGCGATGAGAGAAATGTGGAGTGAACTGCGAACTTCGAAGCTGGTGATTTTGATCTGTACTGACATCGTGCTACGTACTATGTCTATGCAACGAGGTGAGTTAATTGAATATCAATTCGTACCCCTCCCTGGCTTTTTGCACTAGGTACCCCCACCCCGGCTTTTTCTCTCCTCTTCAGAGTTAGGTGAAAACCATATTCTTCCGCCTAGAACCACTCTAAGCACATGAAAGTCGGCTTTTCCTTCTTCTCTCCACTAAGGCTTCAGTGTTGAATAAAAGCCATTGGCTGCTTTTATAGTCCGAGGCAGTGCTAGGGGCGAGGTGGGAGGCAGACCGTCGGTCGACGCGGTCGCGTCGCGCCCAAGCCCCTTCAAAGGGCTGTCAACAAAGAGAGACAAGATCAAAAACCATATGTACAAGCCCCTGCTTGTTTGGTTTTTGATCTTGTTCTTCTTTGTTTTCAGCCCTTCGACAGACCGTCTGCCTCCTTCTCCTCCCATAGCACTCTCGGCCGGCACGCCGGCCGGCGGAGTATGAAAGCAGCCATTAAGAGGGCGAGAGCAAGCGGGGCGGCAGGCTTGATGTTGGTACGTAGGCAACGAAGATTGTTAGAGCTTCGATTGAGCAGCATTTTCTCATTCACAAACGCCCAATTCAGCTTTTCTGTCTGCTGTCAACTTTTCGTACAAATCCATGCTCATGCTAAGAGTGTATGGACCGAGCACCCACACCACTGACGCCTCTACTGTTCAAGGAATGGTTCTTCTTCATGCTCAAAAGCAAGGTGTAGCGAGAATAGACCATTTTCACCTCTATCAGCCCGAAGTCGTGCTGGCAGCCTAGTATGCCTATGAGATTTGAGCAGGCTTTCCCAAGCGGTCGTGCGCAATGTTTCCTTTGGGTTCAAGGAATACATTGCTGCTCGTGGCATATGGGTACCCTAAGCTTGCTAGGCTCTGACGTGAGGGAGAGGGAAGCGGCTGTGCCTTCCACTTACTCTTGCGCATTCGAATGCAAGTTTCTGGCTGAGCTGATGTGCACGATACCTACTGCATCGCATGATGGGATACACCTGCGAGGAGCAGAAAGCATAGCAGAAGCAATGGATCAATAATCGAATTCGCTGTATCTCCGGGTATGTGCACTTGTCATTTTGTTGCGATTTATTTCCTTAATTTCCACTTCGGTCGAGCCGCGTAGTCTCGTCACTGAACCGACTACAGATCTCTTAGCGGAAGGGAACCTTCAGGAGGGGAAGATTCGTGGTCCGGCTACCTAATTAGCGAACATAGCAGTTTGTACATCAGGCTTATTTGAAAAACCCTACCGTTTTGCAGATTGGCCTTCTAGAACCGAGCCAATTCTCTCTAGGACAGCTCACCAGAACAGCCTTGCGGTAACGTTCCTCAATGTTAGACGTAAACTCTATTCCTGATCCTCAAGCTCCTTCGAACATTAGCAGCTGCTTCGCTGCTGATCGTGCTCTGCTATGAAAATTTTTCTTCTGCTTGCCTTCTATCCTTCTACGACGATCAGGCAAAGGCATTTCACCAAGGGAACTTCTTTGAATTACGGCTATTGTCCTTTCCATAATCACACGCATAGGAAAGCTCAGTCAACTAGTTTTGCTTTGAGCTATAGAAAATATTACAACAGTAGTCAAAAGAACACGTTTATTTTCATATTCAGCATCAGTACAAGTTCAAAGATGGGAGAGACATCAATTCAGCAACATGGCTCTTGAATCATATCCTTCGAATCGGCATCTGCTAGGGGCGTTTCTTCGCTATCTTTCGGCTTGGGAGGAGGTGGAGGAGGGAGTGTGTGCCCACGGCAATGTTCTGTCTAGAAAAACTACGAGTTCTCTTTCAAATAACTAACAGAGTATGGTCCTGAGATGAATAAGCGGTTTGGATTAAACCATGGTGTCCGAATATTTGGATTAGAGTTAGGTTGTAGGCTTTGCTTGTGAATCGGCTCCATCTTAACCAGTTGAAGACGACATGGTTTCAAAAAATGTGATCGGTTGACAGCTGAGAACTATTTTGTAAATCCTAATGTCCGTCTTCTATTTGAAAAAGGAACGGAGTCAAAGGTTTATAACTCATTAGACGCAAATTGGAACAAAAAGTGGTAAGAGGTCTGTCAGCACTTTTCGAAGCAGTAGTCTTGTAGATTCTGCAGAAAGATTGAGAATAACTGAATATTGAAAAGTGCGATACATACAAATAGCCAACTTCATCACCTTATGCACCATTCTGGTATCGAATCCACCGTTACCGCTTCCCTCTTACAATTACTGTTTTACTGTCATATTTATAACGCAGTTGCCATCGAGTGAGAGGAATTCTTTTATAAGTTTATCAAGCAACGAGATGCCCCAATATCATATCTACAAAGTTGAGAGATATAAGAAACTTCGTGGATTAAAAAGATGAAACACAAATATTACACCACCGATGGACGTCGGCTGCCGACATCGGAGCTCAGGAAGGTTGAATCCAAAGTAAGGTTATATATGAGCAGCAATTATCATGGCAGAAATGGTGGTATCATCCTTCATGACAGCGAGTAAGTGAATTATTTTCAACCCATCCTCCTTTTCTGTCACTTTGATCCATTTGGAATATCAGCTTAATTTCTGAACCCAAATACTACATACTACGGATCACCTGATGTGTTCTTGGAGTAGGCCTTCACCGTAGTTCTGATACACCTATTTGCTGACGGAATCTTGATGGGAGAGAGGGTAGGAAACCACACATATCGTCTACGCCCGAGTCATCGATCTTCTGCTAGTTTCAAGTTAGTTTAAGTCCTATACCTAAATCTAAACGTTAGTTCTGAAAGTAGCGAGGAGCTGATACGTGGAATTACAATGGAAGCTTTGGAAAAGGCTTAACAAGAGTTTATAGCAAATCTTTGATAGAACACTTTTCCGTAGGCTGCGCATGGTGGAGGGAGGAATTGTGCGCAGGTGACTTGAACCCACGTGAAAGGCAATCACCTGTTCCAAGCTGTTGTAAAACAGCTCACAGCTCCACGATTCATCGCCGATACGGCCGACCGGTTCACCACTTTGAATGTGTGAGTGCTCACAAGCTACGGCATAAAAAGTCATCATGGAAGAAAGAGTACGCGGGGTTTCCGAGCGAACACAACCGAATACCGAGTAGTACGGTAATCAGCTGTGTTCGCTGGAACTAAAGCGCTAATTCAAATTTGCTCCCTTTCATTTGATACTTCGAACACAATTCAAAAGTCGGAAAAGTCAGTCAAAAAGTTGGATTCTCGAGGCCCATTCTTCCCATATTGAAAACACAATATGGAAAAGTCATACCTCAGCTTCATCTTGTTCCCACGTTGTAGGATCGTCCCATACACGGGGCCGGGTATAAATGCAACAACAATTCGATTTCAATCGGCCGAGATGTTCATTATCTGTACAGTACTTTTGTTATATCTGGGACCATATCCGCAGATTTTTGCTCTAACGTAAAGAAGAAGATAAATGGGGACGTCATCAACTCGAAGGAGCGCAAAAAGGTACACATTACAGTGCTTGCCCTCATCTAGATCTTCACAAAGCTTTCCGCGGTAGTTGTTCCTTGACCTCGCATCGATATCGAAACGATGCACCCATTTCATAGTACTCTGTTGTTTCATTTTTGCTAATTATTGCACGGGAGGAGGTGGTGTAGTGCCAAGAAGCGCGCTATTACACAAGTATGGTCTTGGGTTCCAATCCCAGATCAATATCCGATTAGTCCAACCAAGCCGCCCATCCCTTCGGGGTCGATTAATTAGTACGGCTCGTCTGGGAGGATGTAAGCAATGACTTGTATATCGGCCGGCCACCGCAGGTCATTGTGCAGGCCCGTTCGCAATCAATGCACCACCACGAGTTTAAATGGAAGTCGAATTTGGGAGCGCAGCCCTCAGATGGAATTGAGTAACGCCCAGAAGCTTTATCCTTTATCAGTCGGGCTATGCACGCTAATGCGCGCGTCACATTTAGTAATCAATCGAATGACTTGGATACGCACTGCTGCGATTATGTAATCAAAGGCAGCACTCGACATAGAAGTTACTTTAATGATTGGCTCACAGAACTTTACCCCTAGGAAGGTAATAGAGCTCATTCTATCGCTGCTAACAGTTGGATGTGCTCATCATCTTTATGAGCAAAGTCTCTTGAAAAAAGGCCTAGTGCCTCTCTGTACCTCAAGTAAAAACAGACTGCGAAAATAGGTGGCTGTTGTCAGTGGAACTTTTTCTCTAAGGATATATCATTAACAGAGGCTCCCAGATTATTAGCGGTCGGATAAGTTTTGCCACAAATGATATTAAAGCAGAGAGGAACCGCGACCCTTCATTGAATCACAAACTTCGCTGGGTAGCGGGGGGAGGCATGAAATGAACAAAATTTCACAATCGGTCCCTATCAATGCACTTACCCTTCTTGTCGAATGAAACATAACAAAGAATCAGAGCTAGACCGTAAATAATAAAGGCGCTAAGATACAATTGGTGATTGGATCTTGTTCTCTAAGGCTTTTTCTATCGTCAGTGCTCCCATGCTGCCCCCTCTACTCCTATTGATAATGCTCTCCAAGTCCACGAGATCAGGAGTTTTCGCTCAGATATTTATTCTGCTGAAACCCCGTCCCCTGCCGGCGCAGGAGGCCCTACTGCCCAACATAAGAGTGCGTACTGCCGCCGTACCAAGTTTTAACGCCCCAGAGCCAAATTGAGAATACGAATGCGGTCCGCTCCTGGCACCCGCCATAAATGTTCCCATCCTGCCTCCTGTACCCTTACCAAATTTGAACGATCTTGGTCCACGGGCACAGGAGTTATGAATATCCGTGGAAACAAACAGACAGGCGCGAGCGTTTTATATATAGTAAGGATCCTTCAACTGAATGTAAGTTATCATATGTGCTGAGATAAAAGGATAAAAGATAGAGATCTCGGGCGTTAATCATTCTACCTGGAGAATGCACGCCGCATTCGTTTCTCATTCAAAATCGTAGTGGCATAACGAGTGCGTATTTAGCCTATACAATGATCTGCGTTGGCCAGCAGCTGTACAAGCAGTTGTTTTGCCCTCCCAGACGAGTCTTTCACTAATTAACCGACCGGAGGGATGGAATGCGTGGTTGGCTCAGGCGGATATCGATCCGGGATTTGAGCCCTGATCGTGCGTGTGAGATAGTGCGCTACTTGACACTACGCCATCTCAGCCCTTATGTATTGAGATATAAGCCAAATAGATAGCAATCGTAGCTTTTCTGAAGAGGCTAAACAGTTCAGACATCTTCACCCCTGAGAAAACTGCGCACAAATAAACCATCTATGTGTGGATGTTTACATGTAAATAAACAGAGCAAGCAAACATTCCACAATCCCCGTTGCCTTCTCTTCTCCCTTACAATCTCTATTGTGCATTGTGCTTTGGTTGCGCGGACCTTATTGAGGCGTATCAATCACATTTGGTCCCGAGGGATGCCGAAGGCCTCCCGAAGGGACCACTCGGCTAGGCCGCCACATGCTCTTTGCAGAGACGGATAAGACGTTCGAGAGTTTGAAGGCGTTTGGAGGATCTCATCAGAGCTCTAGTATCTCGAAATTTTGGCAAGAGTGTAAGTAATAACTTTTACCACAGGTGAACCGATGATCCTATGAAAATGCTATGATTAAATAGATACCGCGTTGTTACCTCCATACTTCTCGTCAACTCAGTGAATGGGAGCTCATAGCTAACAAGAGTTTCCATAGATTTGTAAGAAGCGGCTGACGTTTTTTCCTTACCTACAACATCAGCAGCCCAAGTTACTCTCGGCCTATCAGCAACTGGTTGAGATCGCAGTCGCAGGACGAGTTCTTCCTGTAACAAATCCCTTTTTCAGTTTTCTCCAACCATTTTTCGAGAGTTGCCAGCCCAGAGCTTGCTATGGGATAGAGGACTTCAAGTAGAACGCAGCGAGGTCGCAAGACGGCATAGGGGGGAGGGGGAGGGGCGGGTGAGGGTGGCATAGAATGCACGACGAGAAAAGTACAAAGAGCTGAATCACAAGATCAAAAGTGAGTCAATGTGCACGGAAGAGAATGAGAGCGAAAAACACTCACAGGTTACTATGAGTGGGATCAGTCTTGGGTGCATCAAACGAAAGGCCAACAGTATACCTACCTTGTCGCGTTGATCTGTAACAACCTCTGTCGTTAGTATTGCTGTTGCAGATGCCTCCATTGTATCGAATGAACCAGACTCGAGTTGGCGAACTTCGCAAATGATGGATAGGAATTTTATAGAAAGTAGTTGTTCGGAAATCAGAGAAGTATATCTGCCCAAACTACACTCTTCACTGACGCTCACGCTTACAGCAGTTCTCACAGTGTTCCTCTGAAGGCTAGTTTCGAAAGACGCGCTCACCTGCTCTCGCTCCGCCCACTCGATCGGCTTTCCTCCGTTCATATGGAAAGAAAGTGCTTGAAACGTTGTTAGATTTCTTATACCGTTCGAGGTTTTAGGTGGAACACTTGATCAAGTAAACGGCCTGACTTTCGACATAATCGTCGTCTTCACAGGCCTAAACGCAATTCGATAAGTTCTACATTATCAGACAGCGTTTGCCTTTAAGCAAAACGACAGAATTTCATCGGAAAACCGCCCACTTCATGAAACACTCACCAGGCTCCACCGCCAAAACTGTTTGAAAAGTAAACATGAGACGCGACAATATCCCTAACCACTCGGACATCGCTGCACGGCAATGAGTTGGTTAAGTGCGAGAAAGGACCGAGTGGCTCATGCTAAATGACAATAATAGGGAATTGTAAAAATTTCGCAGCGAGCAGGATTCGAACCTAC